GTATATACGTATTCCCAAATAATTTTGAAAAAATGTCCTTTATTTTACGTTGGTTAATATGGTCACCGTAGTTATACGTACAACTATGGTCAGAGATTTAGTACCAAAATTCAAAGATATATGTTTTTACAACATATGTTTATTTATTTATTTTTACTAATTTTCTTTTAAAATATAATTCAATCTACAACAGAAACAGCATAAATAAAAGTTTAAAACCAAAAAGTAATCAAACTTTTTTAGTGTAATAAAGTACAAGTCTCAAATAGCTAAAGAATACCGTTTATTTTTTAGAATTTTTTTCGTGAAGGTTGTTGCCAAAATTGTTTGTTCAGTGAAACCAATCAAAGCAGACATCTGCGCCGAATAATGCTTTGAAGGCGTTAGGAAAACCTTACAAACATATCGGGCAAAAAGTATGTACTACACTGAGAAAAGAGTTTAGTTACGTCAACTAAATATGTTTTTATCAACACATGATTTGGTTATAGTTACATTATTTGTTTATAGTTACCAAATCATGTGTTGAGAGGAATATATTTGGCTGACTTTTTTCTGAGTGTAATAAAATCTTTATTGGAGAAATTTTTATGGGCAGCCAGAAAAATATATGTTTTAATTTCAACATCTAAGTTTTAAACCAAACAAAAATCCCCACATCCCCAAACGAAAAAATCTATCCCCAAATGGTTTCGTAAATCCCCAAAATGGGGCGAAATTCCCACATCTGGCAACTCTGTTTGCATGCAAACTAAATAAAATTTGTTGCTCTTCTATTCTTTCTGTTGACGTTCGGATCAGGGTTGAAAAATGGAAATTTGAGATTGTACCTAATATCATAAAATAAATGTACCTAAATGAGACAGATTGTACCTAAAAAAGTTACATAATTAATTTGTAGTTTTTTTTATAAATGTTATTTAAAACATGTATACAAAAAATTTATGTTTTTTTTTTTTAACTGAGCCTATATCTATAGACTACATATAGTCTAATGGGAATCGGAGAAGCGTTGTTTTTGTCTAATTTTGGCTACTGAAAAATATTGACGAAAAAGACAAAAAACACACTTTGCGAAGTATACTTCTTTATCCAGCTTTTTATAAAACAACAGGAAAATCTGCTTATTTATCCGATTCCTTTCGATAGGTGCAGCAAGTTTAGAGAAAATAATCAAATTGCAGGAAGTAACTTCGAAAGCATTTTAAATATATTTCCAGAAATCAAAAAGCGAATATGGGTCAAATAGCTATAGTTCTCATATAAAGAAAATATGAAATTTGAAGACATCCTAGACACTGAACTGTATGTGTG